ACTGAAAACTAAAATTTCTTTTCTTTTAAAAAGTAACTTCAAGAACCCCTACTACTTTGCTCAAGCTGAAGTATAGGAAACAATAAAGGTGTTCAATAAATACAACCAATTTACAAGTGTAAGTGTTTTTTTGAAATGTTAAAATATATCTTTAGATGTATAAATGTAGATAATTAACGTATTATAATAATTTATACATCTATGTATTATGTACGCTAGTACCAGTGGTATTTTATATACACAATTAATTATGATGTCCCGCCTACATGCACGTAGCTGGATGTGTAAGTTGCACATGTTCTTCATATCATAAAGCAAATCATGGTTGATCACCTGTTATTTAACAGTACAGATAAATATATGGTCCAAGTTATAATCATAAGCATATCATACTATGATCATGGAATCTCAAACAATGGTATTCTACCGCTACAAGATAATTTATTAAGCATGGGTAAAGCAACTGTGAGTATACTTTTAATTTGAACAGCATGCAGTTGTATACAGACTTACCTGGATTATTTCCTCCATTTTGATTTGAATATTTTCAAAACGTTTTTATATTATATTTTACACAGCCCGTGGAATCTGCCATGAACCATACGAAACTGGTTTTTTTTTACGTCATGCACCTTTTGTATTGTGTTTAGTTAGGGCATTTCCACGTCACTTTCATACTGTCTTTACTTTCGGTCTCTTGTTGTCTGCATACATGAGTGTCACTGTCAATAAGTCATTTAAAGTCCAGAACAACAACAACATCATATTATCCAAAATATTTAGTTCTTTATTCAACACTAATTAGTAATATACTTGTTTGTATTCCAAGAAAGTGGCCGATCCAAGAAAGGGCCCTAAAAAGAAACACCATGGGAAATTCCCAGGCTATTTATAGCACGTACCAAAGCACCCAAGCGAAGAATAGGGTGTGTTTCACTGTGCACAAATCCTGTTCCACTTAGCACTCGGTGTGTTTTGTTGTAAGGAAGTGTAGAATCTTATCACAGATTATATTTGAAGGTAGGTCTTTTATTGTAGTTCTATTACATTTACTTTTCCTATTAATTTAATATCATGAAAGTAGGTCAATCCGGTCAATAAAATTGTAGGTTTCAACAGCTCAGGAGTGACCTACTTATACATGTAACTGTCCTAAATTACTGCAAATAGAAGGAAGGAATGTTACGCTATTACAATTACGCTAGTAATTGGCATTGCATTATTTTAACTACTTGATCAAAAGACAACATTTAATGACCGATTTAACACTGGAAAAGACATTCAAATACAGATTCAGTTAAGAACTTAATTTGATATATATAAATTAAGATAATTACCTTGATTTACATGTAGGTGATACATAAAACTGCAGGCCCTGAGGTAAAGCCAAAAATGAATTTTTAACTTCAAATTTCTCTGTAATGTTTTGGACTTCTTAATAAGCTTTGTTTCTTACAATACATGTACATATTGGTAGACCCCTATAATGTACATTTTGCTTTAGGGTGCTTCTTATCTCATGGGTATCATTTTTTAACTTTGCATGATTACAAGGCATAAATCTTCACGGTCAGTACTGTACATGTGTAGAACTTATTTTTGCATGTATACAAATAGTACAGACAAGCAGCCAACATCAGCAATGTCAGAATCGGTCCAAGTTCGCCAGCAGTTGTCTTCTGCATTGGACACACTCCGTCAGCTGATCAGCAATGGTGAGCTGATCTTGTTCCTGGGAGAACAAGCCTCATGTCTTCCACAGCCGGCTTCAGTGGAGGACTGGTGGAGACACCTAGGGGACTTGGACAAAGAGGTAATGATTAATAGATATGTGAAAAGTGAGAACAGATTTGTACTAAAATACTGATGGGTTTGAATTGTAAATCGTGTACATGTTATAGTATTGAAGCTTATTGCTTTTATTATTACGGAAAACATAACATTATGCTGTTATTAACAATTAAAAACTGTTTGTATCATTTTATGTTCAAATTCTTTTTGTGTGTTATCAATTAAATTGAAAATAAAATTGTAAAATTTTATATATTTAAATGAACATCTAAAATACTTGCTAAGATAAGAAAGTCAATGTTTTTTTTTCAAAAGGGGAAACCTATGTATTAAGTCACAATTTGATTTTAGACCCTTACATTATTACAGGATGCAGTTAGCAAGATAGACCAGTTGGAGTCAAATATGAGAGAGAACCAGCAATGGCTGCACACCATCCTCAGAACGTTGGGCAGATTTCCAATAATCTTCAATGTCAACCCTGACCGCCTGGTTGAGCACTACCTTATCAGACCAGGCGATAATGTCCAGACTGTTAGATTAGATAGGGTGAGCGCATGGGACATTTCGTGGGGGAGCAATCCTTTATGGCAGATTCCAGGGGAGGGGGGCGGGATCAAGCAGACATGTGCCCCTTCTTGTAAGGTTCTGAGGTATCTCCTCATTCTGCCCCCCCCCCCCCCCTCCACACACACGTACACCACCTAAAAAATATAATAAGCAAAATGATACAAACCCAATTTTTCCATCCCTGTGTCTGACTGTTCAACCCCTTTTACACCGGACGACGTCCTTTCTGCATCTTTTGTTCGACCATGAAACTGGCATCGCTGTGGTTGTATAAAGGAGGCACAAGCATTGCTTTGGTTGCAGAATGAATGCTCAATGATCGGCTAGATTAATGCTAGAAGTGATGGGAAGTGATGGGAACATCTGAACTTAGTGACTTGATATAATTTTACTTCTATTTTAGGTTGGAAGTCTGTCTGGTACATGGCCCAATGACCACAGAGTTCTACTTATCAAGTGTTTTGGAGATGCTTCTTATGATGCAAAAGACAAGCTCACGGTAGGCATTTTTTACAATGAGGCTAACTTGTAGAACCTCTGTTTATTTTATGTTATTTTAAATTAAAGAAATAATTAAAAGATGTTTCATTGTAAATTAAAGTTTGTGATTTTCTGGCAAAAGTTTTCTGATCATAGTTTTACATTGAAAATATATTTTATTGTATTTTATTGTATTTGTAATACTAGCTGGTATTTGAATTTATTGCAATTACAAATACCCCCATATGAAAATGTATGGATGAAGTAATATCTTCAAAAATTTCAGTCTGCTAGTAAGAACTACATGGAGACCTTTCACTCCATGGCATCTGAGGAGACAGCATTTGTAGAAAACCTTTTCCACCAACACAGTATTCTGTTTCTTGGTTGTGAAAAAGACCACCCTCTACACAAGGCATTCATGGAAAGATTTGTAAAACATTCCAAGGTAACAATAAACTTCTTTTAAAAGCAATGAAATTTGGTTTATGGGTTATTATTGTAATAAAAAAAACATTTGAGCTAGAAATTTCATGCAACTGATCATTATCATCACGCACACAGAAAATTAGTAAGACTCATCGTATTATGAATCATACATGTGTCTGGTGAATTTTGTGTGTTGATAACGTTTTTTTTTATTATCCTTGGATATTATTCTTATTTTCCATTGATACATCAAGTTTTTCAGTTTTTCTTTGTGTATAGATTCGTCATTATACACTATATTGAATTTTTGAGCTGAGTTTACTGTGATTCAAAACAACCATTTTATTATTTTTTCTTGATTTATTTTTTAAAGGGTCAACATTATCTCTTTCAACGAGGAACCACATCAAGCTATTTCCAAGATGACCATTTGACAACCATCCAAACAGACATGGAAATAAATGAATTTGCCCAATATCTTACTCCAGGGAGTACAGAGTTCAAGATAAGGGCACCCGGAGAGGTAGGCTTGGAGAGTTATTGATTTTTATAACTTAATTTAATTATAATAATAATAAAAATTTAGTGTCATATTTATACATAGCGTAAAAAATGAAAAAATTATTGAGATATTCCAAATGATAAGAATATGAACAGAAGTTTAATATTGGCACATGCATGCTTAAATAGGGTCCTATTTGGTATTTTTGTTACCCGTGAAATTAAGCCACCTTATATTTCCCCAAGTTGTGTGAATACAAAGAGTGATCTCTGAAGAACCCCATTCCCATCACCATTATTCATCATTCTTGAAACAATGTCATCATACTCGTGATCGTGACTTTCAACTCTTTTTCGGCTTTTTGAATGATATATGAATTAAGTTTTATTTACTGTGGTTTCTGAATTGATGATTTTGGTTCCCATGAACTGTGATCACTACCCCCTCCCCCAAATGGGACCTTCCTTGAAGGATATATAGCCTGTATCTTAAGACAAAAGCAGTCATGTTTATAGCCATTTTCAATTTCATGATAAAGTAACTATCTGTTGTGCGTTGTTGAAAATGAGTATAATTTGAAAATTTTCTTCTGTCAACAGCTAATATTGAAATAGTTTTTACCTCAAATATTTCGATGTCTGGCAGAACATCTTCATCAGGTAATCGAAATATTAGAGGGTGGGGAGGGGGGGGGGTAGAAAGATGAAAAAATAGCCAGACCAAGCAAGTCAGATTATAGAGTAAGACACAGAGGACACTGAAAATTTTGCTGGTTTAGGTTAGTTTTTTTATGGGGATTGGAGGGGGGGACTGTTGCACCTCTTCCTGTGCCTCTATCATTGTGCTTTGATCCATAAACCAATGAAAGCTAACAATTTTTTGCAGGTGTATGAGCACTCCTACCTACCCACCCAGAGAGAGCAGTACTTAAAAGCTCAGTTAACTCTAGAAGCAGCAGCCTCTGAGATAGGATTCCATACAGCTAAAGTCACCAATGCTTTGGCCACAGATGAGGCACTAGAGGCAGAGTCAAGGGGAAACTTAGAGAAAATGTTTAAGAATGATCCTTTCAGTAAGTTATTGTTGTATCATATTTGTCTCAAAAATTCTCCAACATGCATTACTTTTTTCAAGTCATCCATTATAATTTTTATTATCCAGCAAACAAGTTCATCACCTCTATTATGCACCTTAAGTTAAACAGATGGTTTAAATACATGTATATATAAATGAAGTAACTTGATTAAAACCCTTCAAGTTAAAGAAATTTAATCTTATTTAATCTTTATGTCCAGTACAGAAATTATGGTATATTGTTATTATATTGCTTTTTTATCCTATCCTTGCACACAGTTGGAGAATATGATGCAAGAACAGTACAAGGAGCAATGGATGCCATGAAAGGAAGACGAGACAATTTATTAAAGGTATTTTGTAGTATCATGCAATGCCAGTGACTCCCTAAGGAATGCTTTAAAAGATATAACTTTGCACTAGTAAAAAATTATGCCATGAAAAATAATGGCAAATATATCTGAATTAATTTGCTGTTTGTATGTTGTGCATTGTATCTAAAGGGAACTTGAAATTTATAACAAGTTATAAATTTTCATTTATTATGGTAGTGATGAAAAATCTTCCAAAGCAATATTATAATACATCGGTAACACAGCTTTTGAATCGTATTTTTTTCCAGCTCATTCAAAATGGAGTAAGGGTGACAGCAATCTTCAGATTTGACACTTTTGAAAAAGACATTGTTGATACCTCTACCAAAAAGGATGTCCGCCAGAGAAATGTGAGGAAATATGCCTCTGTTTTACTGCAGTCACGTTCTGTTCTAAATAACCAGAGTATGCTGGAGCTGAGAGTAGTGCAGGACATGAATGAAGAGCAGACAAAAAGGATGAAGGAACAGTATGCTGTTATCAGATTGAAGGGTATGGGTTTTCTGTTGATTGTTTAATTTGTTTAATATTTGATTTTTATTTTCCATTTTTTCCCATCCTTTTAAAGTGCTTATAATGAAAATTCTCAAGGGTTGAAATATTTAAAGGGGATGTGGGTTCTCTTTAAAAAATTATAAAGAAACATTTTCCTTTGATATGATAACTTATTTCCCCTTTATATCCTATTGCTTCCATTTCTTTTTAAGACAGTAATCTTATTATTCCGACTTGTATTTTCAAGTTTCATTATTTCCTTAAGGTGCATTCAAAATAATGACTTGTTTCTACAGGAAGCTCCGATGAAGCTATTGCTTATGCCTCACCTGCTGTTGAAGGCAAGAAAAATGTCAGCATCAATTTAATCAGTGTTAATGGTACTGAGGCAGCCAGAAAGCGTAAGATATTTGAGGAAAGCAGAGAAGCTGCGTGGGACCATGAGAAGTCCATGTTGAATCTGACCACTGCACTGCTCCAAGCCGATCAGGAACTGAAAGCCATCAGTGTATGTCATAAAAGTTCATAAGTCATTCTTGTTCATGAATATATAACAACTTAATCACCCCAATTTAATAATTTAATAAATATGGTAAGACAATTTGACAAATGATGTATTAAGTCATGGATATCTCTTATATTTTTAGACGGAAGACAGAAATAAACTTCAAAGGCTTTACAATGTCCAGATGTTGACAAAGACTGAAATTGAACCTGGGACATGGGAGAAGCTGGGTGAAGGAAGCTTTGGTGCAGTGTTCAAGGTACAGTGGAAAGGAAAAGAAATGGCCTACAAAGTCTTGCAGAAGATATCAAAAGCAGATGATCTGGAGGAATTTGAAGGAGAATACCAGAGCTTGAAGTAAGCTTTTATTCAACAACTGTTTTCTGTTTTTTTTTTTAATCCAGAATAAATTTCTGATTTGTATGTTATTAATTTTTTGTTCAACATGCCTTCACTTGGCTTTGAAAAAATGAATGACTTATTTTTCTCTTTTTCAAAATATGAGTGATGGCTTTCTTCTTTCAAGGAAAATTCATCATCCAAATATCATCTCTGTAGCAGAGATGTACCGCACGGACAATCCTATCCAGTTAGGTATTTTGATGGAGTACATGTCAGGGGGCAGTGTCAGGGATGTGATGAACAGGAACCCAGGTCAAGGTCAGAGCAAGGACTTTGTCTCCAGGCTAGCCATGCAAGTAGCGCATGCTTTGGATTATCTGCATTCCCTGAAGCCAGCCATAATACACAGGGATATTAAGGCAGATAACATATTTGTAAGTTTTGTGGTTGCAGAAATATGGTGCTGGGGTTCTTAGTCACAAGCTTTAATTTATTTATTTTTTTTTCATTTTAAAAATTGAAATAAACTTGGGAAATATAAAATGGAATAGATATCAATGAAAGTTACATTTGATAAAAATATGCTTATTACCACAGAGAAATAAGCATGGTGCATCGGTATATACTTAAAAAAAGTGAAAACTTTGAAAGACGAAAAAGACTGGTTTTTCATTGTCTCATGTGTAAAGATATTTTTAAAATATTTTAAAAGTAACTGTAAGCTTTTTTTGCTGCGAGGGCCTTTGATAAAAGGTTGAAATGCTGTGCCTCACAGGTAAAAACATGTACATCCTCTTTGGAAATGATTTTTAAGAATTGAAAGGCAGTTTATTGATGTCAGGCATAAGAAGCAATCAGAAACTTGTCAAAACAATAGTTGTCCACCTGAATGTAGTGGCTACACTCTGGCTGAGGCAAACCTCAGCTAGACTGACAATTTTTAATTATTATGTAGGGATGTATGTAAAATGTATGTTGAAATTAATTCAGTCTACAATGGCTCTATGTAAAATTCCAGTAAAATGGAAGTGGATCAGTAATGTTCTGTCACTGGTTACAGTAACTGCTTCTGGTCTGAGCTAGGAGATTCTTAGACCCCATTCCCATAGATTTTAGATCGATCTATCCCTGTGAGGAGTCTCTCTAGATTACTATCAGCTCAGCCGGCTCAAGCATCTGTCCCGCCTACTTAAAGCTGTAAGGGGGTAATTAACTATGGTGCCTGCTCGGCTGACTGCAATTTACAGTAGCCTGAACCCCCAGGGAGTTAGGTCGATCTAAATCTAAATCTCTGGATCGATTTAAATCTGTGGGAATGCACCCTTAGACCCAGCTTTTGACCCTAGACCCAAGATTTTGGTCAGTAGGATAAAAAAATTTAGCACAGGCTGCTTGTTCACTTTTATTCTATTAAGGCACCTTTTAGCTATGCTTGGTTGATATTCATTGAACAATTATTTAGAGTACATGTACAATTTGTTCCAGAATGATGCAGAGTTCATCCTTTTTTTCCAGATGACAGCAGACAAACAGACCTTCAAGTTGGGTGACTTTGGTCTTTCAAGGATTACCTACAGTACATACCAGACTAAGACCATGGGCTGGGGCTGTTACCGCTACATGGCACCAGAGATGGGAAGAACACAAAAATATTCACCCAAAGTAGATGTATATGCTTTTGGTGAGCTTACATTGACAAGGATTTGGATTGAATGCATATCTCTGTAGATATATTAGTTAAAAAAATAATTTGATTAATTTTATCAATTTATCTTTATTTTGATGGAGGAATTTGACAAAAATGATTTTATTAGCAAATAAGCTTTAACAAATACTTCCATCTAGTATGTCATTCTAACTTTGGGAGCATCAAGTAAGCTGTCTGATTAAGGCCCTTTGATGAATTGTCGAACTTTCATCCTTTATAGAACACGATAAGTCTATTTAGAAATGATTTACCTTTTCACCATTTACATCTTGTTATCAGGTCTGCTGTTGGTGGAGGTGATTACAGGCAATATAGCATTCAGTGAAATAATGGACAACAGTGAAGTGTTCAAGAGAATAGCTGCTGGTCAGCTGCCAGTGGAAGTGCCAGTAAGTGTCATAGAAATAAACGTTGTACAGGCACAATTGTGAGACGGTGGTATATATCAGATTCAGGATCTTCCTAATGGGTGCAGAAGTTTTTTTTTCTTTTTGTCATATACAAGACTAAGGTGTGCTGTTTATCTTTAAATGCATTTCTTAATAAAAACTATACTTGGTTGTTTTAACCTATCCAGGAGGAATGTGAAAAAGTCCATGGTCTCCAGATGAAGGCCACCATATCTGCCTGTGTCATTGCCAATTCCAACCTGCGGCCTAAGATGAAGGATGTCATCAAGATGTTAGAGGGAAAGCTGACAAAGTTTCAGAAACATGAAGAAGTGGAGCTGCTTTGTCTGGGAACTGGAAAAGGGGCAACTGGTATTTTTTTTATGATAAAAGTTTTGTTTGATGTTTCAATTTTTTATTTTGGTTCTGAATGAACACACTTGCCTTAGACATTTATGAATTCACATATTGAAAGAAATGTGATTGTTGAAAATCTTCTGAAAAGGGGGATGGACCTTAATTGATAAGAGTTTTCCAGAGCAAAGAGCATCACGTGATTTATACTAGTATGTCAGTTTTGCAGTTTTATTTCTCTATGATTTCAGCTGTTCAGGATGGAGAACCCAGTTCTTCTTTTGTCATTCTCCACAATGGCAAACCTGTACTCCTTGTAGATATAGGTTACTTGGTCATGATGCAGTACCAGCAACTTGTTGGTAAGGGAGTTAATTCTGTTTCACATCTGTTTGACAGTTGACTTAACATTATAAAAATTCCACACCATTCAATAACTTAATCCTAAATTAATTTTAAGACATTAAAAAGCAAATGTGAGTCCATTTACAAGAATGCCTTTATTTGAGCAAAATTTTACAAATAAATGTAAAAATTGTTGGGAGATCTCAGTTATTTAGTATCGCAAACTGAATTGTAGGAAATTTAAAGTGATATGTATACAAAAAGGTTTGATATGTGTTAAAAATAGACTTTCAGGCACATCAGTGACATACTGATTCTAAATCTCATCTTTAAAAAAGATTTTCCTTCTTATTTATAGGCAAAGAACCAGTTTTCAACATGTTCATTACCCACAACCATTCAGACCATGCTGGTGAACTGCCAGTGTCTATGTGCATATTTGTACCCACATTGATGAAACGGGGTTACACCAAAAGTCCCTTCAAGATCTTTGCTGGATCAGAAACTATGCCAAAGCTCATAAATCACAGAATGGATGAGGCTTACTCTATGCCAGGTCTTAATGATCACGTATGTGTAACAACTTTATAGTTGTTTTAAAAAAAGTAAATTGTTTCAACGATTCATGGTTTTATTGGTGTGATCAAGAGCCTTCCTTCTGTGAAGGATAAATTTGCCATGCCCATGGGACATTTGTGTCATGGGGAATTTTCTTTTTATTACCAGCAATAGACAGTGTTTGGTCTACCTTATCTAATTGGTTTTGGTGACTTTAAATTTGCAGAAAAAGATTGCTGACTGGCGGACATGTTCCCCAGGAGAGAGGGAGACCATTGATGATAATGGCCTGTTTTCCTTGGAGACTGTTAAAAGTCAACATTCAGAAGTTGGTTATGGTGAGTCATTTGTTGCTCCTCTTTATGTCAAAATGTTTGGGAGTTATTGTTAATGATGAAAGTTAGGAAAATGGTTAGAAAAATGGTTAGAAACGATTGTATAATATTTAAGCTTATATAAGTAAATATAAGTGTATCCAATATATTTTTGTTTAACGGGACATTCATTAAATATGTAAAAGTTTACAAAATACATGTAGTGGCCATTCTCAATACTAATATCTGCATTGTATTCATATGTTATTTATTTAACCACATACTCAAAGACTTCATTCCCATAGACATCATTGGTCTATGTAGATTGATCCAACTCTGTGGAGACTCTTGCTGAGTGCAATCAGCTTAACTGAATGACATGCTTCCTATTGTTCCCAATGTATTCATATAATCACCAGCTTATCTGTATTCTACTCTATTGTCAGAGGTGGCAGTAATTCAGTTAAGCTGACTGCACTCAGCAAGAATCCCCACAGACTGGGATCAATCTACGTAGACCGATGGTGTACATGGGAATTGGGTGTAACTACTTCTGACACTGCATTTCAGGGTTTGTGCTGTACTACAAAGGGTCTCCAATACTGGGCTACTCGGGAGACTCTGGCTTTGTCAAGGAACTGTATGACAAAATATACGAAGCTCCAACAGTGATTGTCGATGGCAGAGAAAGAGGCACTTGGGAGCATGCAGGAGTAAGTGGTATTTACTCAGAATCAAATCATACATTTTCATTGGGCCGTAGCTATGGTGTCATGGAGAAATATTAAGATAAAGATGTGCATTTCATTTTGTAAATACATGTAGCAATTTCAGTCAGTGGTTTGGTCTCATATAAGTATGATAAGTCAATTATTACTAATTTTGCAAACATTGAAATATGGCTTATTTATGTATTTTCAGTTTGACGAAATTAAGGAATATACCAAAACTAGCAAGGTAAGGATATTCCAGAGGGCTGTTGATCATTCTTTTAAGCATCTTTTAAACTAGAAATTAACAGATTGTTTGTCTTTTTGAAAAAAAAAAGTCACTTAATTCATGGGTTCAATATTCGAGACTCCTCAAGTGAGAGTACACTCTAAAGAAAATTAATGAGAAACTTGTGTGTTGTTTTCTTAAATAAAATGTTGTTATTAACTGATATCTTTTTAATGCTGTTTTTTATTGTCATGTGACATTTTTAAAATCCTTGCTCTAAAAAATGTACATACAATTTAGCACGAGTTTGTGTATGTTACTGGATATGGAGCACCCCGAGAGTCACCTGGTGACAAGTACCTCCCATCCATCAAACCACTTGAGATTGGTCAGCAGTACCCCTTGGTGTCAGCGGGTCAAATGGCTGATGGGCAGGGTCCAGACCCTGCTGGCCAGGGAACAGGCGACATCCACCCTGGCAGTGGACAAGAGCAATATCCTACACCTCACAAGGCAGTGCAGAGTCTGGGGCAGTGAACGTCCGAATAAGAAAGTTTTAATTGAAATTATCATTTAGACAAGAGTTGAACGTTAATTCATACGAAAAGACATTCCATAAATTGATTAACTTTATTATGTGAAGTTCAATGTTGGTCTCATCTTGGGGAACAAGCGTTTTAGTCTACTTTGATCCAGATCCAGAATAAATCAGAAGTAGTCCACTTTAATGAACAGAAAAACAAAGGCCAATGTTTTAGCCTACTTTTTTGTCATTGGAGTGAATTGCACCGATTTGTCCTCGTTTTTTGATGAACATTATTAGTTTTGAAGTTAGCACCAACATTTGAATTAAAGTTTTTTTGTGAAATGGGTTCTAGGATTTGTTTAGGCAAATCAACATCCCTAGGTTAACAGATTGCTCACTATATATGGGATTTATACATCTAAGGTATTTGTTGGGGTTTTTATACCCTAAGCTTCAGGTCTGATGTTGACTATGTCAATCACAAAGACATTTCAGGGTTCCATAAAAGGGTATTCATCTTTCTAAAATTTGTGATTAAGGCAGTCAAACACTACTGACATTCAAACATACCAGACAAGAATTTATGGACATTTGAAAATGAAAAAAATTTGCCTACTTCAGCCCTGACACTCAGGCAAGGCTTTGTGTGGCCTGGTGATGTCTATTTCTATATAGAGATTGTGTACAATGCTCCTAATTCCCTGTACTATAAAACATGTTTTTCCAGTATGTCATAACCTAAATAAATCAAAAATGTTACTAAATTATTAAAGATAATGTTAACTTTGATTTTAATCCAAGTTGAAGAAAAGGGGAAGCAAACTATGATTATTTAATGATTAATGACAATTTCTCAAATTTTGCCACTATTAATTATTTAATGATTAATGACAATTTCTCAAATTTTGCCACTATTTTCAGTAGATGTATGTGAGCATAATGTTTAGGTAAAAGATTTCAATAATCATGTGGTAATGAAATGGTCTGGTCTTTCAGTCAAAACATGTTCAAATTGAAATTTTACAGAATCCATGACATTAGAAAAGTAAATATTTGTATTATGATGATGCACTGCAATAAAGGCCACAAATTTACGGCAAATTTCTTTCAACAAGTTTTATTGTAATTTTCATTTTGACAAGGTTTTTACATGAAGTACACAACAAAGCAGGTAAATATACAGACACTCAAAAGAAAGGCAATTCTTTTGTGATCAACTGGTGCTTTCCACTTAACATATTAAAAGAAAATATCTAAAACGGTGTCCAATAACCCACATTTTGGATTGAATTTGTATAAAATTACAATCCTGCTATTTTAAAATTTGCATTAATAATTGTTATTAAGCAAAATGGAAAAAATTAGTTTGTCTTCCTGGATATAATTTCTTAATTATCAAAATGGTCCATTTTTGATGGGTTCTGTTTTTTGCTACCGTAAATCTATTTACATTTGGTGATCTACGTACTGGATTTCTTCATATGAACACTTCAATTTAAAATTTGCACAGAAAAATATAACGAAAATATTCTTATGTAACCTTAAACCACGTTTTTATGGCACCAGTTAAAATTTGTCTAAAATGTTTATTCTGATGGCATAATGTGGATTCCTTTTTTCACTTCCTGTCTCTGAACCAAATTGAGATAAGAAGAAATAATATTTAAAATGCATTTCTGATTCCTTGACATACTGTTGTGACAAATTAAGTATTTGACAAATTTCTAAATGTAGAGTAAAAAATGCAAGTTTAGTAAATGGTAGAACGGCTAGTTTTGTGACCCTTCAAATAGAATTTTCTTCCCCACCTGACACCCCTCCAGAGGAATGGGCTCGACCCACCTGAAGCCCCTCCAAGAAATGGACTTGCCCTACCTGACGCCCCTCCAAGGAGATGGACTCGCCCCACCTGACACCCCTCCAAGAAAATGGACTCAGCCCACCTGACACCCCTCCAAAGGAATGGACTCACCCCACCTGACACCCCTTCAAGGGAATGGACTCACCCCACCTGACGCCCCCTTCCAAGGGAATGGACTAGCCCCACCTGACGCCCCTCCAAGGGAATGGACTAGCCCCACCTGACCCCCCCCTCCAAGGGAATGGACTCGCCCCACCTGACACCCCCCTCCATTGGAATGGATTAGCCCCACCTGACACCCCTCCAAGGAATGGACTAGCCCCAATTGACATCCCTCCTGAAGAAATGTACCCACCCTTGTACACACTTTTGAGCAGTTGTCATGGATATAAGTGAGTGTAGCTTCATACGGAACCTGACACCCGTAAAGTACTATTGAACTGTAATCGCCATTGTTGTCCACATCTTCACTTATTCACCCCTGTGTAAGCTGACCTTCCGAGCAAGGTTTTTGGAATGTACTTCTTAAAGTTAAGGTAAAACAATTCACTAGTTCATCATTAACACCAAACAACTATCAAGATGACTTAAGGAAACATAATTAATCATTTTGATAAAGTTCTTTACGGTGTTGATGGCTATTAGAACCTTCTTGGAAGTAACAAACACTAAGTTATCATTATTATCAATCTGCCATTCTGGCAGACTCTTACTCCGACGAAAGTCGCTTCTGAATTTCCTCCAGACTAGATCCGCATACAAAACAGCATTGCTTTGAGCATTTTAATGTTGATGACATTTCATTTATTATTAAAATAATAATAAGAGTGGGCCTATTATACACCACCGAGGAACTCCCTGTGATATTCCAGCAGGATTAAAGATCGTACTATTAATTCCCACTGCCTGGGTATGGTCTATGGGATTTGGACTATTTTCAAATTTGTTTCTGTAGTCCTAGTATTAGTTTTTGTAACAGAATTTGGTGGTTTAACCAGTATACCTTGATATATATAACCTTGTAGGGACGTTATCAAAACATTCTGTGCTTTCTGGATAGGTTAAACAACAGATCTAGATGCGTCGGTCGACGAAGACACAGATAGACACAGTGCTCAGAATATATTAGAACATACAATATCAGTACATACACCTTTAATTTCACTGAATAATTTCTGTTTACATTATGTTATAATACTGCATTAGATTCCGGACCAATATATCTGGAACTCCCTAGCCCTGGCCCCCGTTTCACAAAGAATCTTAAATCCGTAGTTGACTATCTCGAGCTGGATGACCTAGCTAGGTCGACTACGCTGCAGTCGACTAGGAGTGTTTCACAAAGAATCTAACGACTTAGCTTGGCGTGCTTACCGTAGTCGACGCACACGAGAAACTCTTCAAGAAAATTAAAATAAATTAAAAGAAATTTAAATAATATATTTGAAAGTCAATAACCACTTGATGTGTCCAATTTGCATTGCTACATGTCATTTATGTCAACTACAAGCTTTTCTAACTGTCGTGACACAACGTTGACAGACTTTAGCTCTAATGAGATCACACATAGTTAGTTAAGTTAGTTTTATTCCCATTCAATGGGAACAGCTATTATTATAATATACAGGTTTTACCAATATTTAACAAATATTGAGCCAAACAAAGTCTTATATATTTACATAGGCCCGAAATTCAAGCACTAGAAATGTTATTCAAATGTTAACAATATTTAATTGAAGGCTGAGACAAAACAAAGTTCACAAAATTCCCTTACATTTTTTCTAGATATAGGTACTCAAAGTGCAATGTCTTTAATTGCTATTTTAACATGTTAAAACACGCGGTTGTCAGTATGAAGCTATAACCACTCAGCTATGACAGCGCTCTGGTCATATATTTAAAATATTTTGATATGTCGATTCATTTGTTATCCATTTATTTCTTATATATGCTACTGTCAACGTGCTATGTTATTTTTTAAAAATAAAACCAGACGATACTGATATCACGATCCTCGATACAGTCAAGATGTTTCCTTTAACGTATTTTATTTTGCACAATGTCTATAACAACTATAATCAGTGCAAACCTGGCAACGCATCACGTTTTATCTGGTTTGGTACATAGTCAAACATGCATTATGTTAACTACAGAAATGTCATCGTGCTTGACTGAAACGTGTAAGGCCGTGCCGATCCTTCGATGCGCCGCCGTTTACAGTTCAAACTTTTTTCATGCATTTTCAGGATTTCTTCAAGTCTTTCTTTCTCTTCCCGAAGTTTTTCTATTTCATACCTTTGGCTCTTTTCTTTACCCTCTTCACGCAGCTCTTCCTGCAATCGGAATAACGCAAGTAGTTACAAAGTAAGGCAGGCTCGGTGCAGAAAAAGAAATTTGACAAGTTCCTGCAATATATAACGTGCGTATTAAAACCGCAATGGACAAATTTATCCATTATTTTGATCGAGATTGATGTACTTTTCCGGCACTACTGATGTCGGAATTATTTATTTATTCAGAGATCTGCTTCAAAATTCATCTCCATATATAATGCCATGATGAATAATGCCATGATGATCTCAAAATAACATCATTTTTGTTTGTTTTTTTAATAACTTTGAATTTATTAACATTAATCAGTCACAAACCTCGCTTCATTTCAAAGAAAAAAGGAAAGCAAATTACTTCCTTTGCTTTGACTAAAAATATATTTGAAAATACATTAACTTCACCTGCATGAGAGAGTACATTTTTTCCTTCTGCTTCTTTCTGCACTTTTGTGCTGCCTCCTTGTTTTTAGCTCGTCTTTCTTCTAAAAATGGTCCATCTTCCTTGTTTTGCTCCAAAGCACCCTGAAACAACATGGTAACGGTACACATTTTAACTGAGCCACAGAAAAAGATACTCAAGGAATACATGAGGAACTTCTTTCCTGAGTTTGTTTTATTGAAAATTCCTTTGAAATACGAAAATGATGGATGATAAATGAAAATAAAAGATATTGAGTAAATATCGGGGCAGTCGTGGCCGAGTGGTTAAGGCGACAGACTAGAAATCTGTTGGGGTCTCCCCGCACAGGTTCGAATCCTGTCGACTGCGGTGCTGTTTTGTTACTTACAGAGTGCAAAGAGCCGCAGGGTATGTGCCCCCCCCCCCCCCCCAACATATATAAATGTCACCTTTTAAGTTTGTTTTTACTGGCGACTCCTTTAAAATACTAAATGCTGAATCAATTCGGGTTCTTTTTGCTCTAAAAAACAAAACGTCATGTAGTCAACAGAGCAGTCGGCGACAGACTAGAAATCTGTTGGAGTCTCCGCGCACAGGCTCGAGTATTGTCGTCTGTGAATTTATTGTGGATTGTACATTGGCCTATGAGCCGCGGGGGATCTGAAGGGTTAACCCTTCCCACCCACCCGCGCACACACACGCACGGACACACATACACGCACAGTTTTCTTTCAATCTCGGCAGTCCTAAGTACAGGAAACAAGGAGTCACAGGCTGATGTTTCACTTCATATTCACAGTTACTTTTCTGGTTAAACAGTAATATATTATGCATTATTTTGTACTAGTGAAATTTTGCCTAGAATTGACGGTATCACTCAGCTTGAAACTGGTAGACAGTGTGGGCTAAAGGCATTGTCAACCCTTTAAAGATGAATGTATACTTCATTAAAAAAGTCAATTTACAGAGTGGTCCATAAAAAAGAACCTATTTTACTTTCCATCTCAATTTTGATACAATAAATATATTACTAACTTTCTTTTACCAAATTTTTCTACAAGGATGACCGTTTTACTCTTGCAAATTCTGCAAGAAAGTTGGAAATATCTTAATTAAATGTATCTCAAAATTGAGATGGAAAGTAAAATAGATGCTTTTTGATGGAACACCTTTTAGATCGTGGACAGAGACCACATATGCTATCTTCATTTCTAAAGAATTGTCAACAATATGTACTGATTGTCGTCGTAAAAATAAAAATATATCATCTTATATAGCATATTGACGGACAATTTTATCGTCGTAAACGTTCAATTCAAATAATAAAATGGAGTGTCCTGTTTGCACAAATCACTGTTTTTCTCAAATTCCTACTACGATGACCAGTCACAAAACCATTTAGAATGCGAGAAAGTTATTTTAAGTGGACTTTTAATGTTTGATTCGATTCACTTCATCTTTTTGATTTAAAGATTCAGTCTTTTTAAAAACGTAACTTAATGCTGTTGGAAACTGATTTTGTAGGCAAAATAAAACCAAATTGTTTGGTTTTAAATGCTACTGAATGGAAAGCAAGGTGAAGTAAAAAAAAAAAATTGACCTTTCTTATATTCTCCATCATCACATACAAATGAAATTCATTAAAACATGCACGTATTTGCACCTCAGCATACATCTGCAGGCTGACACCCCAGTCAACCAATGCCCAAGTTCGCGATCAAGCAAAGGTAACATTTCACAAGCTATATTTCTCGTTGCATGAATGCAAGGATTCTGGCGCGAAATGCAAAATAAATGGTTTAATAATCACTTTGTTTCCTTTCGTTTAACTTGACATTTTCTTTTCGTATTGGGTTTTTTGCTGAACTCATGCTTTTTCTGTGTTTCCAAAATGTCTATCCAGTAAGCTTCCGCATACTTGCATTCTATTAAATATCGCGCAAGCGTTTGGGAAATTACCTGTCTCGGTCACGTGACAAAAAATTCCCCTGACTAGTTATTTTGGGGACTCTTACAATTGGTCGTCATGGCCGGGAACGTAAATCAGTACTTAAACCTTTCATGTTTTTAATGTGAGTCAATTGTGGTAACTGAAAATTTTTACTGATTTACAGAAACCAAAATAGTTAAATACAGTATGGACGCACACAAAAAAGGTCTTTGCGAAGTAATAATTAAGTAACAATTTAACAAACTCTTTGTTATAATGCCCTAATTAAAATCCCCTTTTTAAAATTCCCCCTTCTCGAAATATCTTGGTCGAAAATCCCCCTTCAAAATGACTGTGAAATAGCTTAGAACCTCTAACAGCGCCAAGTTAAGGCGTAAATCAAAAAAATTTTTAAATAGCCATTTTACGCTTTGTAAGCCTCTTTAAACCATATATTTTATCTTTAGCTTCGACCACAAACATGAAATAATCATATGTAGGCAGCATGAAAATTTTGCACACATTTAGAATTAGACCTATATGAAATGATCACAGTAGGGCCTATAATATCAAAGCGTTTTGGGGGCCCACCAAAATGTTTCGCACGTCAAAAAAAAAAAATAAAAAAAAATAAATAAATAAATAAATAAAATAAAATAAATAAATAAATAAATAATAATAATAAATAAATAAATAAAATAAAATAAAAATTACCGTTTCAATTTTTTCCAGCACGATTGGAATAGGCCTATCTCCTTGCCCAGATGAGTACCTACGATGAAGTATGGAGAACTTCAGTTCCTCTTTGACAATTGCACTGCTATTGCCTTCTTCTAGAGCTAATACATTTGCCTCCTCAAAGTCGATGCTCGAGCTGAAAGTGGGAAGATCTGGCGTCTGTGGTGTGGTGACACTTGGTCCAGCAGGATTCCAGTCGGTTTCCGTAGAATCACTGCTGAAGGTGCTGCAATCGCTCGAGTTACTTGTAATTTTTTTACGTGCCATGGCACGGCGTTCTCATGTGGTGTCTCTATTCGCAGTTCTAAATATAAGATGCACCGTGTCGTATGACGATCGGCTGGGCGATCACTATGTAATGTTGACAAAGCTGGTTACATGTGGCCACGGTTGACACTCAAATGACCGGCTGCTAGAAGGTTATAAGATCACAGTATTTGAAAAACCGATCGTTTATACAGGTAAAACTATCTCATTCTCATATGCAAAGTGAATTAGTTGGACCTCCGCCTAGGAATATAATCGAATAATGACACGCCAGTTGAGGGTCTATTTTTAGAAAGGGGCTTTCCATAGTTTTGTTTATTTTGTTTGTTACGAAGTTAAAGGAGCCACTTAGACACATATTAATTATATTTAATCTATACTTTGACATCCATAAAGAATATATATATATATATATATATATATATATATATATATATATATATATATATATATATATATATATATAAGAACCTAGGATCCACTTAT